GCCTTGCCCGACAAGGCTTGATACTCAACTAGAAGACTAGAACTGGCTCACATACCCAGCAGAACCAGGAGAGAAACAGATGATCCACTAAAAGGCAAAGCAAAGCTCCTAGAAGGAATATGACTAGATAAAGGGAAACTTTAAAACAAATGAGGAGGAAAGAGATGTCTAGCAGTTATCCATTAGTCTATCCCTCTGGAGAGAGAGAAGAGCAGGAAGCAGACTACAGCATCCCAGAAAGTCAGAGCTTGCAAGCATCTCCCACACCCAACAATTCCTATCTGAAACCTGATGACCCACCATATGAGAAAGGAGTTGAGATATTTTATAAGCAACATGTTCTTCTCAACAAACAAAACTTCAACAGTCCTAGCACCATCCTCAAGAGATGCCTCTCTCAGGAAGATGTGTTAGGTTAACCTAAAAGAGGTTAAACCTAAAACAGACCTATATCATATATATATCTATATCTATATATATCATATATACATGTAGATGTCTATATGTAGATGTAGATATAGATGTCTATATGTATATGTAGATGTCATGATATATACAGATATAGATATCTATATCTATATCTATCATATATACATGTAGATAGATATATACATATCTATCTATATCTAGATATAGATATAGATATCTATCTAGATATAGACAGCCAACCTTGACGGCATACTAAAAGAAAAGAAGCATGTAGATGGCACAAAACTGGAAAGGATTGCAACCACTTTAAGGGATAGGATTAAAGTAAAAAGAGATCTCGGCAGACTGGAGAACAGGGCGACAGGATAAATGAAATTCAAGCCAGATGGACTCCAGGTGTTACATCCCGAGAGGAAAAAACACATGCACAGGGAGAGAATGGGGCTATGCAGGGCACTGCTGAGGACATCGGAGGATCACAAACTAAACAGGAGGCTGCAATGTGATGCAGCTGCAATAAAAAGCAGATGCAATTTGTGTTGCATTACCAGAAGCCCTGTAGGCAAGACAGGGGAGACAGAATCATAAAGACACAAGAACATAAGAAGTGTTTTACTGGGTTAGACCCACGGTCCACGTAGCCCAGTATCCTGTCCCCACCAGTAGCAGTAGCAGATGTCTTAGAGGCTGAGTACATATACAGAACATGGGTACAGTGTACTCCATCGGGCCATACCCTCCCCAACATCCACCATAAAAATAACACCACTCCACTTGATGATGGTTAGGACTCAGCTGGAAAATTATGCCTCGTTCACACCCTATATTTTTAAGGATGCAGAGAAGACCAAGAGACGCAACAAAGAGATTAGAATGCAAACTGCACAAGAAAGGCTGGAGGAACGAGGTACTTGGAGTTTGGAGAGAGACGGGGAGGTAGGATAGCAGCTCTCAAATATTTCAAAGGCTGCCATGAAAGTGATGGGGAAACACTGCCCTTCCTTGCCACAGTGGCCAGGACATTTTAAAGTTCATAAATTGTCTGGGGCTTAGTTCAAGTTTAACAAAATATTAAGTCTGATCTTATGCAAAGTCCATATAACTGCATCTGTCCTCCAGGTCACGGCACCAAAGTAAAAGGGTTTTCTACGGGGAACTGAGAGCCTTGAAAAAAGTTAAATTTGGAGACGGGACTCTCTGGATCACCAAAGGATACGACACTGCCTCAGTCAGGCACTAGCCTGGAGTAGGTCTACAACCCTTTAACAAGTTACCGTCTTGTTATTACGAGATCTGTGAAGTGTAAGGAAAAGGAGTCTGCAGCAATCGGTCTCAAGCTATGGTCCATGAACCACCACTGGTCAGAAGACGTGGGTGGCTGGACTGGTCCGACTCTACCTGTCCGACTGCTGCATCAGATGGAGAACAGCTCAGGTGCATGAAACACTCTCCTCACATTAGCTTTACGCCGTTTCAGATGTTGCTGTAGAGATGTCATGAGATTGCAGAGGACCACGTCTGCATGAGCTGCACTATTACGACTGGAAAGAGGCCTAATCTGCGTGATCTTGAATGGAGGAAGTCGTGCTATTGAGACGCATTTTGTTACCACTTGGGTTACACTGAAAAAGTTTGGGATCCATTACCCTACAATAGTCATTAATTGCCAGAAGACTCTTGAAAGCTATTAGAATAGTAAAAGGATATGAATTCAAGTCAGATGCATATAAATAAGAGTCGTTCTAAAGGCATGATCAGCATCAACATGGTTTCTACATACGCATCAGGGGCCTGCTAAACTGGGAAATCAAAGATCACCCATTTGCACCCAGACTGATAGGATGCTGAGCTCATTAGCCTGATCATCACATCTTCATCCCGTTTTAAAATTCATACCGTCAGGAGTGTCATTTCTACCACAACCGTTTTACTTTATTTACTACGGCTCCTCCTCATCAATTTTTAATTTCTAGTTCCATTAATCAACTGCATCAAAGTGCAAAGAGTGATGATCTTTAGGTAAAAAACAAGGTCTTGTGTACTTGTTAACAGTAATTACTTATTTTGACACCACCACTCTTATCGGAGAGCAATAACTTCCATTCCTACCTCTATTCTCGCAACAGCAAACAACAGCTGGTCTAGGTTTGTGGGTGCAAATTATTTTGCAAGTAATATAAATTAAGAGGCCTCACTGCCCACCTTTGTGCCTGCCACTGTAACAGCACACACAGTGCTGCTGGGAGAGCCTTACCAACACCTGCAAAGACTGCACTTGTTTATGTGGGGGCACAGAGTCAAAGCAAAGGTGACGGGCATTAAAAGAAAAGGGGGGAGTTCTTTGTCTTAATGAGTCTTGTTAGTGCGAGGGGCTGGTTGCAAATCCTTTCAACTTTTTCCCAAAGCAGCAACAGACTGGAAGGATCAGTGATGGTGCAAAAATAACAAACTGATAGGTAAGGGGCATGCCTCTGAAGGAGGGCAAAGACTGGAAGCATTGCTTATCATTCTGGCTTGATTCAACCACGTCATTGAAAAACACAATGGTCTATAAAGCGAGCAGCTGCCAGAATTACCGGACAGAGACGGATCCTCCTCTAACCCCAATGACTGGTCGGTAATGAACCCAGGTTGCTATTATAACTGAGAGCAAAGAAGAGGGAATCACAGGGCCTTCCGGAGGTCATCGAGTCAAGGACCAATGTCTAAATCGGCCCAGACAAACGTGCATCCTAACCTGCCCTTAACCTCCCAATGATGGAGACGGTTCTGGATAGGGATGATGGGGCTGGACTAGCTGACCTCTGGAGGCCCCTTCCAGCCCTACTTCTCTATGGGCATTTATACACGTGCTCTGGGAGCGGGGAGGGGTTGCTTTAATTAGACTGGCTGCGAGAGCCGCTCTAATTAAAGCGCCTGGAGCATCTTGTGTACTGGTGTCCCTGCACTTCAAAACGGCAGCAGGGGCACTTTAACTAAAATTTGTTTGACGAGTTTTAGTTAAAGCACTCCGGCATTTCTCAGTGGGAGGACGCTAGTACATGAGACACTGGAGTCTGCTGGAGTGCATTAATTACCATGCTCCAGCAGTCTAGATTAATCGAGTCTGCTCCGACGCGCTGTAATTACAGCCTATCGAAGCAGCCTCGCTACATGTCTATAGGCGCCCTATGAGTCTATGACTCCAGCCCCTTGCTAGGTGACCTGTTCCCAGTGCTGAATCACCCTCAGAGTTGGAAAGATGAGACAGCCAGGCAGACAAGGTGAAGACCAGAGCACTTGCACATTGCCTGCCCCTCCAGGTCACTCTGCAACCCAGGCATAATTTCTCCCTGACTGGTGTCATCTCCAGTGTGACCCTCTTGGCAAGCTTCGGGGGGTGGATAGAGAGTCTGGCCTACTGAACCCTTGGGGAAACGTCTCTCCTGAGCTCAGACTTGGCCAAGTGAAACTTCACGGCCTTGCTCAGGACTATATGGAGGAGTAGATCCCAGGCAGGTCCCAGATCGTTGTGTGTGATGGAGCAATCCAACAGACCCTTGGTCTTTGCACAGCATGGCCCTTTGCAATTCACGGCCCTTTGCAATTCACAGAGGGGTCAGAAGGTCTCGGCGTGGTGAGTTTTCAGCAAAGCTCAGTGGTTACGTCTCCTATACAACACCCAAGATGCTCCTTTTTAAACCAGTGACTCCATAGCCCCTCCTGGCCTCTCCCCCTGCTTTGCTTGTTCCCTGTGGTGCCATTAGCTGCAAGAGGTCAGGAGCAAATCCACTACTCAGGACCCTAACGAAGCCCTCTAGTGCATTTTAACAATCTAGCATGTCGGTGATGAATCCAGGAAGATATCCAGCCACGAAGTCATACAGCCAGTCTGATGCATGGTGAAACCTCTGTGCATTTTCCTCTGATGGGTCATGCTGATTTTAAGTGAGGCACCAGGCAGGGGTTCAAGAGATCTAGGTTGTTCCCACCGCTGCCAAAGACTTGAAATAAAACCATGAGCCAGTCACCTCATCTCTTTGTGCCTTGGTTCCCTATCTGTTAAATAGGAATAATAGTCCTCCTTTTCCTCCCACCCCTTGTCTGTGAGCTGTCTGGGGCAGCGAATGCCCCTTACCATGTACACGGCACTAGCGTTATGGGAAATCAGATCTTGTTGTGACTTCTACCATCGACTGTATTATAAATAGCATTGCTTCCTACGTCTTTGTTTCAACCGAAATTCTGCAAGCTCCCACGTGGCCCTTACAAATTCCACCCAGCGCAGATCCAGCCACTGGGAAAACTGGTGGCCCACTGCTCCAGCACCTTTAATTGGTTTCTTTTCTCTACATGGAAGGAAACAAAGCCATTTTGCCCATCAGTGTTCTGAATGCACAATACTGCTGTTCGTCACACCCAGGTGTTCGACAGCTTTCGGCTCTACTGCTCCTCTCGGTGTCACAGCCTGCCCGAAAACCAGCTTGTGGACGACCAATGCCCTTCACCAGCGGTGCAGTCCCCTCCCGCAGTGCTCCACGGCAGTACACCCATCTCAGCGCTCACTTGAAACAGCGACGGCCCTGCTTTACCTTTTCTCCCCTGGGGCAGTAGCCTTTGAGGAAATCCGGGCACACTTCTGCTTTCCTGGACACGTAGACGTGGCTGTAGGGACAGTTGCTGTTGTTGCAGATCCCCTTCAGGAAGTAGGAGCAAACCGGCATCTGGAAGGGCAGGAGAAAGCTGTTACTCCCCTGTGCAAGTAAATTAGGAGCTGTTCCAACCCCCAGCCTGGAAATAACCGTGACACACAGAAAACAGATAGATGCCTTCTTCCAGCCACTGCTCCCAGACCTCCTAGCAGGCTTCAATGTGCTCGGCCCTGGTCCACATACATACAGAGGGACCACGTGCCACCGGGGAGCTCGGCTGTCCGAGCCTCCTTCAAACCACCTGCAAACAGGGTGGAGTTAATGACATTGCAACGGTGGCGAATACGGCCTCTTTACAACACAGCCAAGGGACGGGGGAACTGCTAACGACGTCACTGGTGGGGCTGTGCTGGCACCGGCTCCCGGTCGGACTGATCCTTCTGTGCTGTCATCAAGCTGCCAAAGCTCATGCCTCCCCTTGAACCAGAGAGAAGCAGGTTGCTGCTCTCCGCAGGCTCTTGCTTTAAGCTTGCATTATGGCACAAGCCTTGCCATTAGGGGCTGAGCTGTCGTTTCCAAGGAACACTGCGTCCAGTGTTCCCTGGGGAGGGGACTTCAGCATCTGACAGCAAAACTTCAGAGCGATAGTTTGGTCCTACAGGCTGCTTCACAACCCGGAGGGTCGGGACCTGCCAGCAGGTCCCATAAAGACAATATCTACCTTCTGGATGACAGGAAAGTTGGGCTGAAAGGGACCTCAGCAAGGTCACGTCTAGTCCAACTCCCGGCTCACGGCAGAATCATCTCTGGCTAAACCAACCCAGCCCTTCCCACACTGAAAAGGGACGTGGGAAGAGGTGCTTGGCTAGAGAGGGAAAGGTCTCAGGAAGGAGATCCTGGGGTGCCAAAGCTAGAGAGCCACTCTACCACGTGTTTAATGCTCCTTTCATTCAAACCCAAGCATCAGCACCTTGCCTTTTCCCTGGGTCGCTGACTGTGGGGGCAAACCCACTGCACTATATCAGCCGGGATGCCCTGCTAGAGTAAGCGTCTCTGTGCTGCAGAGCACTGCGGGTAAGGAAAAGGTAAAGCATCAGTCCGATTGCCTCTGCACGGCGCGCTCGGAGCCTGCCGTGAGACACGAGGGTGTCAAACTAGCTGGACGTGGGCGCCACACATCAGCGGGCAGCTCAGGAGTGTCCACGCGCTGGCAGTCATCGCTCACGCTAGCTCCGTGATGCTGCAGCTGATGGGAAACCGGGAGCACGACCAAGGATCCTTATGGCCGCGCCTCAAGCCGCAAGCTTTACCTTCCGCCAGCTGCTATAATTAAAAACAAATTACCAGCCTGCTGCGATATCTCACAGCTTTAACTCACCGGCTACTGCATGCAACTTCCCAAACTGACTCGCACGAGCCGGTTACACATGGTGCTCGTGCCCGGCACAGAATTAAACTCTCCTTAGCCCCCTGGATCCCGGCCGATTCCCTGCCTGCAGCTGGTCGCACGCAGCTCTGAAGCTGCCGTTATGGTCCATTCGCTCTCCCCTCCCCGTGCTTGTTCTTCCTTCCTAAGCCCCCTACTGCTCACCTAAATGCAAAATTTACTTACTGCACGATGCAATATCGATCCCTCAGTTCACTGGTATCATCTTAGTCCTGCAGGTTCAAGTATCCCCAAACCAATATTTACAATACTGCAATAACCGCGGCCGACGTTATATGGAAAAGTCCCTTTCCCTGAAGGGCACATTAGGGTTTTAACTAAATTGGCTCACTTGAGTGAGAGAAACAGAGAGAGAGGGAGAGGGAGAGAGGGAAGGAGGGGGAGGGAGGAGGGAAAAAAGCAGAGGGGAAAGAAAACAAAGGGTGCTTTAAAAGAGAAGAGTTTATTTTTAATTGTCTTTTAACTGCAGACATTAACATAAAGGACAGGGCTCTAGGGCTATCTTTTTTGTTGGTGGTGGTGTGACCGTAAATGATTCCCTTAATGTAGTTTTTGATATAGAGCCCAAATTAGCTCTAATAAAAAGGGATAATAAAGCCAGCTCTTATACAAAAATAAACTCCTCCTAGCTGTCAAGCCTGAGCCATTATCAAGAGGAAGCCGCATTCTCATTTCAATTAACCTTGTTTGCACCCTACTACGTCCACACAAATAACAATAACATTAATTCAAGGCACTGGTGCGGTGCGTCCATATTAGACAGCTTTGAATATGTACACGCTTTGGAGCTGGCAGCTAATGAACCCGAAACTCAACGTGAATTTCCAAATTGCTCACAACAGAGTTTTGAAGCTCTATTAGGGAGAAAAATGCTGATTCTCTCCGAGTTCCTCAAGGGGAAAAGCTGTTGTAACAGCAGCATGCCTCTGCCCGAGTCCTAGCCTCTCGCTAACCTTCACTGGCAAACCCATTCATTCACATTTACAGTTTTCTCTAAATCACCAGGAAGAGGCAAGGGCTGCCTGCCCACCGCTCCGTGGGGCCCCCGCACGCAAAAGTTAGGAAGCGGCTATTTCCAACTTGCTCTAGGCCGGGTGACTTTGTTTGGGATGCCTGCTCCTCTTCCCAGGGGCCGCATCCTCCTATCTACTCCCGGGACCGCCTTAGTCGCTGCCGCCGGGATGTCAGCTTTGTCTCGCAGCAAATGCAAGGCACCAAGGGCAAATTAAATGGCTCTCCCTCAGCCTGCCCCAACCCCTGTGTCAGGGGGAGCAACAACCTGGACACCCCCATGAATCACCCCCATCCGGCGTCCTGCAAGCCAGGTGCAAAGGGGCCGAGCTTGCAACAGGAGAGCAGAATGCGCTCACCAGGCGCCGTGGGACACAACGGGTTGGAGGGACTTCGGGTGGAAGCGAGTCGGGCTTCGGGTGGAGAGCCCCAGCAGCGTGTACCAGAGAGGGGCTTGGCAAGGCTTTGGTCCTGAAGCCTCGCCGCAGAGCCAGGGATGGGTTTATCCGCACGGCTCCCTGAGGGCTCGGGGCAATGGTCCCTGTTCAATGGAGCGGGAACCAGGCCCTGGGAGGAGGAATCAACTTGCATGCAGGAAGCCTGTGACCAAGCCGGGAGCCGAACCCAGGTCTCTGCAACTCTAGTCCCGTGTCCGAGGCATCCCAACCCTCTTAGACTCGGGGTCCCCCTTCACAAAACGCCAGCTCTCTGATTTGGGTCTCATAGTGCTCCAGTTTCCCGGCAGAGATTCACTGCACTAGACCACCCACACGTTGGGCCAGCCCCCAGACAGGTTTCCAGCGCCCTCGGACTGACGTGAGACACAGGATGTGCAAAAATGAGTTGCGACTCCCCCACCAGAGCCCTGGGCTGCTGCATCCCAGGCCACAAGAATCACAGAAAACATGGGTTGAAGGGAGCTCAGGGGGTCGCATCTAATCCAACCCCCTGCTCCAAGCAGGACCAGCCCCAACTACATCATCCCAGCCAAGGCTTTGCCTTGATGGGTCTTAAAAACCTCCAAGGATGGAGATTTTACGACCTTTCTGGGTAACCTGTTCTAGTGCTTTACTACCTTCCTAGTGAGCAAGTTTTTCCTAATATCCAACCTCAACCTCCCTAGCTGCAGCTTGAGCCCATTGCTCCTTGTCCTGCCATCTGCCCCCACTGAGACCAGCCCCGCTCCATCCTCTTTGCAGCCCCCCTGCAAGGAGGTGAAGGCTGCTATTCAATCCCCCTCGGTCTTCTCTTCTCCAGAATAAATCAGCCCATTTCCCTCCTCCTCTCCTCACCAGTCCTGTCCCCCAGCCCCACAACCATTTTCATTGCCATCATGCCGCTTAGGGGCACTGGCAGGAATTTGGGAGAAAGCTGCCAGGGGGCTGCGAATTTTCTAAGGTTTTAGTGGGTTTCTTTCCAAAGTGCTCTCCGAGACACCGCACCGGCAGACAAACCACGGACACGGAGTGACTACTGTCTCGCCCATGCCCTTCTTTGAGAGTAGAAACATCCAGGGAAAGATCACATTAAAAAACACCTTTGCTTGAACAGCAAAAAAAAAGAGCTATGTCTCCAAAACCGCTGGTTCGTACAGGAAGTGCAATTTTCCCTGCTTGGCTGTAGCAAGCACCTCCTGGCAACGGAAAACCACTTTCCTTCCTCTGCTGAATGGCTTCACCTGTCTTTCTCGTTGGGTTTGTACTTTGATGAATGAGGCAAACATCACCTTTGCTAGTAATCACACAGGTTAACAGGAAGCTACAGCAGTGAATACCGGAGTCGCCTCTTGCTTTGGGAAGGCTGCTCCCTGCAGCTATAAATCACAGTGAATGGGCTCCGGACTCAGCAGAGCGCCTGCTTCTCTTCCAGCCCACGCTGATGGCAAGATGGCAACCAGGGGCCTTTGAGCTGTTCCAAGGAGATGAGGGCCAGGGAAATCCTCTTCCCCACTCCAGCAACACGGCGCACGTTCCTGGAAACTTGCTCTCAAACGCCTGGGTCGTTAATCCACAGGAGCAGCCTGGTGTTTTGGATCTTGGGATACAGAGGCTCGCTGATACAACCGCTACCCACTCCAAGGACCCTTTGCTAGTGCCGGGGGGAAACAAGCCCTAGAAAAGAAACTCAAAAGGTGTGTAATAAAAGCAAGTAACGCTGTTCTTCTAGCTGCATCCCCGCAAACTTGCTTTTAAGGTATCCTAAGATGCTGGACCACTCTGTAGTTGCAAATAAAGGTTGAGAATATCCATGTGCCAAAATCACTGCATTGCTACTCAGCACGCTGCGCTACTAGGGGTGGTGGTTTCTAATCTGGTGTGAGACCATTTCAATGAAACGCCAACGCTCTGCCTTTAAACAATGGGCATGGCATCACGACACAAAAGGGAACCCCCTGCTCCCCCGGGACCAGCAAAGGGCCAAAGTCGCCAGCCATACTGAACTCAATTTTACTGGCGTAACTCCGATAACTTGTCCTCTTCCACTTCTCTGCAAGAAGCACCTGCAAGGGTGTAAACTCAGCTTTCCTGCGCATGGTGCATCCCACACAGACCCCAAACATGGAATTAGCAGGGAACTGCCCCACCGCTACCATCCACCAGACCTGCTGCTCATCCTGGAGCAGCCCGATGGACGGCACAACTCAGCGCTGCCGCCCCCCGTGATATTCCCCCTCGCAACTGGGCCCTGTGTTTGGGGAAGTCTCAGCTCCTGCAGCTTCCTGACACGGTTCCCAGCACATGAAAATCTCATTCAAAACTCTTCCAGCCTTCACGGTGCGAGAGAACAGCATGAAAGCGGGTCTCGAGTGCCCTTTGGATGTTCACAAAACAAGAAGCAAAGAGAAAAAACCAGCACGGGCTACTTCAAAAAGACTCTTCAGGTAATGGTAGGAATTGGGGCACTTGACTCGTGAGCTCTGAGGGTCTGACAAGACTGAACCCTGTAAGGGCCACATCCTTCCTGAGCCCAAATGGCCTCTTCTGTTTTCCTGGTGAGTTGTGCACGTGTACACACACATGCACACACACCCCCCTGCATTAATACGGGGGTGTAGGTCGTAGTCGTGCCAGTCTAAGGACGCAGGCAGACGAGGTTCTTTGGGTAAATCCGATATCTTTTATGAGACCAACTCAAATAGTTGGAAACCTTCTTCTCTGCAAGCTTTCAGGTATAAATACCCTTTGTTGGGCTGAGGAAGCATCTGCAGTTGGTGTGTGCTCTTCCTTGCACTAATGACATTTGTTACGCAGCAAGAAACGTGATGCATTGAGGGATGGCATACCATAATTCAGAACTGGCTTCCCGGGCCAGTTCAATAAATCCTCAGATCAACAAAGGACAAACAGACCAGTTTTCAAGGGTCTTTGGCTACTTCCCTCAAAAATAAAGCTGAATTTCCAGACATTTTGGTTCACCCTCTCTCATTTCGTGGCTGAGTTTTTCTGGGAAGCTTGTTAAAAACCAGGATTTGCAAATGATGGTGGTAGAAAAACTACCCCTGGAGTCCAACTGTGCTCAAATGTCTTTCCAACAATTTCTCTCTCTCCATCTCCAAAATGCCCTGGCTGAGATCCTCAACACGCTTCGTTCGGTGACCTTGCAGACAAGCACCTTTCAGATTTGTGGGGGGAGGCCTAGAGGGAATTCTCCAACGGGATGTAATACGAACAGCCTGGGATTCCTCCCATTACGGCCCTGCCTTAGTGCTGCATGCTGATTCAGGACAGCACAAAAGCACATGCTTAAATGCAAGCGTCCTGATTGTATTCTGGTCATGCCCGGAGGCCCCACTTAGAATCCAAATAGCATCATGGAAAAGAGGCAACCCCTTTCCAGAGGTTTCAGGGCTGCTTGGGACCAGGGTAGCTTAAAAGCGGACTCAGAAACGGCCTCCGAAGAGACCTGCCGAGAGGGGTGGAGCTGGGGAGGGAGGAAAAGTGGTTTCGTAGCCAGACCTTAGCACGGGGCTTTCCCTCGACAGATGTTTCTTCAAGTTTTCCACCACTTTCCAGAGGGTCCAACTCCCCGGGCGTCAGTGCCCCGCACAACTGCCCTGCCGTAAGCGAGCAGCACCGTTTCATTTCTCTGCCCCGATAGTTTCTACCTCCAAGCTCTTCCCGTAACCACTGCCAGCGGTTGCACTTCTAAGGAGCGATGCTCACATTCGTACGGAGCAAGGTCGAATCATTTTATGTTGCCTTTCCAACTAAAAACGGGCCTGGGAGTGACCCCACGCATGGGTTGGGAGAAGAGGACAACAAATGTGGGTGGGGGGAAATGCCGAGTCGGGTGAGAGAGAGAGATGGGAAATGGATGGTAGGTGAGAGGTGGACACATGGTAGTATTTATATCGAGGCAAATAAAAGAGAAATGGATATGCGATGGACTGCCCTAATCCGATGACGTGTACTTGAATCCAGGGCAGAAACATCCCAGGAAAAATCAGGGGTAAAGCTACCCCGGTGTAAGTGATGTCAGGGCACCGTGTGTCCATCGCTTATCCCTAGGTAGCCATCGGTGCGCTCGCCTGCCACCTAGGGACCAGGCGCAGGAACAGCAGCCTGCTGAATGCAACGCCCCCCAGAGCCGCACGTCTGTTCGCTCCCAATCCTGGTGTACTTTCTACCAGCGTAAGGAACTGATGTAAAACTGCAGCCCTCTGAACATCCCATGTCTTGGCCTTGAATGCCGCAGCAGTGGGTCATCAAGTCTTGGCAAGAGGGCAGGGAGCGGGGTCCTTTGCCCTTGAATTTGTGAACGTGGGGAAACCAATGGTCAAAAGGTTATTTCAGGGGCCGCGCTGGAGGGATGAGGGATTACACAGCACTGGGGACCAGACGGGTTACTTTGAGATGTTTGAGCATCAGGGATTTCCCTGAAGGCAAAGACTCCTGCAGGGCTGTGCCAAGCTGCTGCTAGACCCCCCCCCAATGTCCAGAGCCACCCGTAATATCTTAAAAAGAACAAACCACCAGGCTGCTTGTCTTATTCCATCTCATGGCAGCATGCCGGAGGGCACAGAAGCGGGCATTCAGGGATGGGCTGGGCACACGGAGGACAGGGAACCACGTGGCAACTTATAGTGGTTAGATCCGGGACTCCACCAATGAATACCTATGAGGAATGCCCTTGATGGCCCCGTAAAGACCAGAGAACAAACCCAGGCTGGAAGGCTTATTCAACACACCTCTGGACTCTGCCAGCAGCCAGCATCTGAGGAAGGGGAAGGGTCCTGCTGTAGGCCTCTGAGGAAGAGGAAGGGGAAGGGTCATACCGCTGATGAAGAGGAAGGGTCCTGCTAGGCAGATGTGGGATGATCCCCTAGCATCCAGGGGAGCTCTAGAAGTTGGAGCTCATCTCAGGCCCTAACCTGTAACGTGCAAGGCCCCTTGTGAAACACCCAATGACTCCGGACACTCACACAAACGTCCACTCCTTTTGTGCATCTCGTCATTTCCTGGTTGTGGAAGTGAATTCTCAGGTCCAATTAGATGCCGTATAAAATTAATTTCCTTCCAACGGTTATGATTTCTCCACTGCATCGCTCCTTGTTCCTGTGCAGAGCGCAAGTCTCTGATCTAGCGTCCTTAGACGGGTCTTTATGCGATAACCCGAGGCACGGCATGCACAGAAACGGACAGCACGTCAGTGAAAGCGCACAACGTGCGATTCCACCGAGTCCCGCGCTAACCGTGAACGTGGCTTAAAGAGCCGGAGAAAACCAAGTCAACTGCTGAAAACTGCCCTTATTCCAAATGCTGGTGAGACACAGGGGAGCAGGGGTCAACTCCTTCGCAGACCTCCCTGGATTCATGAAAGCCTTGCATTGTGGTCACCTGAATGGCACAATGGACCACAAATGGGAAAGCGAGAGGCGGTCGGCCAACAGGGAACGGAGAAAAGAGGAAGTGGAAGGTGACTGACGGAGGTATTTTTGACCGATCCATAGCATAAGTAGCGAAAACCAAGGCTTCCCGATGCATCGGCTCTCTGATGCTTTGACTCTTGTAGTGCCTTGGGCTCTCAGCACTTCAAGTTGTGCCAGCGTTGCTCTAGGCAAATTAAGATGCCAGGACTGCATACATTTGGGCTGGGAGAGTTATCAAGTAACTTGACAGGTTGGCGAGTCGTTATTTAGAGGCCTCTTCCTGTTCAAGCACAACACGAGGGATGCAGAGTATATCACTTACGCAGAACCGCGGCTGAGCGGGGTCTCAAACCTGCTGGCTTGTGGGTCGTTCCCTCTTAGCTTTCGTCATTGGCTCATCATCTGAGACTTGAGAACGGCTCGTTCACATTCATCCAGGCCTCAATTCAGCAAAACACTTAAGCACACGCTTAAGCCCGGCCTGACTCAGCAAAGAACTTAATGCCTTCGCTCTAAGCACGTGCTTACGTCTCACAGGCAGCTGTTTAAGTGCTCTTCTGGACCAGGACCTATCTGAAGTCCTAGCCAATGAGCAAACATTAACCTGCTAAATTATCAACCGATAATCACTGAAAGAAAATCTAATTATCTCTCAACCTTACTCTGCGTAATAAAACCAAAGAGCCCCAAACACATCCAAGCAGAGGGGAAATGATGATGAAATTAAAACTCATTCTGCCAGACAGTTTCATTGTCTGGCTTTTTAAAAAAAGTTAATTTATGTCTAATAGCTACTTTACGTTCCAACATCCTCTTCCTCTGACCCTGGGCACGAGTGATTTAGAGGAAGGCACGATCTTGCTGAGACCGCTGGGGTCAGAGGTAGGAAAGGCGATGTTCGGGTGCTTGCATTCTGAACCCAAGAGTTTAAACACCCCTTCGCCCAACCTGCGTTACTGTTGCTGCCAACAGCCCCAGGTGCTCGTGTCGCAAATTTGCTGCTTAATGCACTAATATACTGATTCACCAAGCTGGTTTAAGAGGCACACTCTACTCTCATTATAAGCTATGACCCTGTAATGAGCCTGAACAGCTTGGCAAGCAAACTACAAATGAACTCTATTTGAAACACTCTGTAACATAGACTTCCCTACAACCATCATAAATGCTGCCTCCTCAGGTCAGCTCTCTAATAAAGCCAGAATGTGTTCATCAGAAACCCATACAGACCTTATCTTTAGAAACTTGGTGGGAAAATGAACACGTCCCGTCAGTCTTCTTGCACGTACCACGGAGGAACCTGCCAAAGAACCAGAGAGGGGGCGAGGGGGGAGGGAGAGATTAGGAGCATTATAAACACTTCACAGAGCATGCTATTTTAAACGCAGAGTCTATCCCCTGTGCACCATTTCATCCTTGTATTAGCCCGAGGCACGGCTCAACTGAAGACACACAACTGCTCTGCACATTTTCTTCTAAAGCCCATTTCGCATTGCCAAACTGGAACTTCTCTTTCACCTGAACAGAGCAGCTGATGCTTCTTGAAAGATTTCTATTAACAACTAGGGGGTTTATGGGAAACCAGAGACAAGCCTGTACCACAACACTGGGAAGTGGAGTTAGAAACGCCCAAGATCAGCAGGATTACGGGAGGGCCCAAAGACCTCGTGTTATGGGCTGATCAAAACCAGAGCAAGGCTGGGTTGTAAGTCAGAGAGCTGGGTCTGGAGGAGAGAGGGGATCAGACATGTATTTTGGGTGCACACCAGAGTTCGAGAACAACCTTCTAAAACATGTAGGCATGCAGATCCAGGGCCTGAAGTCACCAGCATCTACATGCCACAGTGACAGCAGACTTGTAAGTACAAACAGACATTTTGGTTCAGAACCAAAAATGCCAGTTACTGCAATCCTTTCATCGGGCTCTTCCCGTGGCGCATGTGGCTCTACAACTCCACCCAAGTGCTCTGAGCAGGGGGATTTTCTGTCCACTCTCGCTCTCTCTCTCTTGATAAAGCAGGGTGTAAATTTGCAAAGCTCCCTGAATGATTTTCAACCACAGGCGCAGGGCTTTGAAGAGGAACCCTCTTAAAGGAAAAATTCAAGGAGTTTTATTTGTAAAAAAATATCATTGTTTTAGCATCTGGATTAAAATATACGTACCATACTTTACAGTTGTATTTGTTTTTTTAAAAGCTCTGCCTGACACTATGCTGAAGGAGAAGGATCTGGTCGTATCCTACAAAGATCCCCTGGATAAAGTGCTGTTCCTCATAGCTACCAGTCTCATCCTGGATATCCCAAAGTGATACACATACGCTTCAGTTCAATTCAGTGAGTTGCTCCAGAAATAATCCAAAGGCAAGTAAGAGGCACCCAAAGGAATCATTCAGGGTGTTGATACCCCGTGCTATTTGCTACTCTCGTCTCTCCCAGCCCGATTACAACACAGTTTCTACATAAGCAGACAGGGACATCTGGAGTGGGAAATCCAGAGTCTGCATGGACTTCTGTTTAGGAGAGTAATGTAGCTAAGTGACCCTGAAAGGGAAGTATTTTAGGTAGGCAACATTGATGGGTTTCCGGGTGGTTTTATCTGAAGTCTAGCAGGCAGTCCACAGCAGCTGGCTTCCTTTTGTGCAGTCATTTTACTCGCAGCCTCTTGGAAGTGAAGTGGCAGGTACATGCACCCTCACCCACTGGTCTGCACGCCTCGTGCTTCTGGTTCAGACATGCTAGCTCTGCTTGATGACGTGGGACTGGAAGGCCCAATCCTGCAGGGCACCAAGCACCTTCAAAACATCGAAGGATTAGGTACGATTCTCTCAGTGCGGCGTAATACTGAGCAGTGGGATGTCTCGGAAGCAGAAGGGATGTTGATGCCTTACGTGCCATTAACCGAAATGCCCAGGGGATGGGGAACACCATACACCTTCCCTTTCGCATGGCCTGCCCTCAGCATGAAAAAAATCAGGCTTGGGGGCATCTACCCCAAAGCAAATTTAACTCCATGTTAAAAGGAAGTTCTCTCTCTGGGATTAGCAATAAAGCCCTGCCTAACTATCGCACAGGTTCCTCCCATCTCTGCAGGAGTGGTAGGACGATGCCTGCCGTATTGCTCGTGTCTAAGGTCACTGGGCTCAGTCCAGGGGCACCTGGGAGAAACAACTGCCGCGACACACAGAAAGGACACACGAGTTGAGGTCAAGATGAGGCACATGCCATCGAGCTATGAAATTACAGGCAGGGCTCCTAGGAAATGGCTGGTGAGCTCAGCACTGCAGTGACAGAACAACCCCAATCAGGTGCAGGCGCATGCAGGGTTGAGATGACAACGGCTGCAACAGGGTCCAAATATCTTCTTTCTTCTGGGGCTTCAATGAGGGGAAGCTCCCCTGAGAGACAGAGGAGCTGGTGCAGGCTACTCCTCCACCAAAAGACTTTTCTCCTCTATGAAGTTGAGATGCCATCCAAGGGGACAATGACTTATTATTGGTCTTATTCTTTGCCCGCTAATTGGAGGCATAACTTGCTTTTGGGCTGAAGCCATGAGGGTAGAATAAGGATAGGAAGGGAGGAGGTGGAGGATGCATTATTGCATGGCAGCTTTCATAGAATCATAGAAGTCGGGTGGGAAGGGACCTTGTAGATCTTCAAGTCCGACCCCCTGCCTGGGCAGGAAGAAAACTGGGCTCAAATGACCCCAGCCAGGTAGGCATCGAGCCGCTTC